GTTTGCCTCTATATTTTTTTTTCCTATATTTTCTTTGCTTCAGTCTAGAGTCAGGCATTATTTTGAAGAATGCTGGTTCCTTTTACTGAGAAAGTTTTTAGAAATAAGATTTGGTGCTAGGAGAGCTCACCACTATCAGAATGTCGCTGCTTTCAGGCCTCCAAAAACACAACCAGGAAATATAAGCAAGGACTCCTCCTAACCATGTGTGCATGCGTGCACACACACACACACACACACACACACACACACCTATGTTTATTTCTGTACCTGTCTATATTCACACATATTAAAACACAGGTGAGATCATGCCAATGTCTCTATACTAACCTGTATCACAGGATTCATCTGAGTTTTCCACTTTTCTTTGTTTCTAACTTTTCTCCAATGGTGAAAAACCTGGTTGCCTTTATCACTTCTGTATTCACTTATTTTTTAACAGTAGTATGAGAATATAGTACTAACATATGCCCATGAGACAGCTATACTAATAAGAGCCCAGTATCTGTGTAATTCTGTTTATCTTGGATATAAATACAGCACCTCCAATTTTCTTTTGATTAATGTCAGCATGGAACATCTTTTCACCTCCTTCTACTTTAACTATTAAATAAAAAGAGAGGCTAAGGAAGAGTATGCTACCAGTTGTGTTTAAAAAAAAAAGAGAGAATAGACATGTACATACTTGCGTGCATAGACCTAAAATACCTATGGGGAAGAGGAACTAAACATAATGGCTGGGAGGTTAACTGGCTGACTGGAGAAAAGAGAAGACAGGGAAACCTCAGCACACACCCTTTTAGGAGTCATTTTGTAACTTCATATACATAAAGTTTACCCTTTTAAAAACTACGTCAATGGTTTTTAGTATATTCACGGAATTATGCAGGCATTGCCACTACATAAGTCCAGAACATTTCCATTGCCTCAGAAAGGAAGCCTTGTACCCATTATGTACAGAGCTAACACCACAGGAAACTCAGTGAAGGTTAGGCATGGGTTCCTGGTACTACTCTCAACTTTTCTGCAATGATTTCAAATGATTTCAAAATAAAAAGTTTATTCAAGGGTCTCCCTGTGACCTAGGGATTAAGTCTCAGCACTACCACCATTATGGCCTGAGTCCAATCCCCAGCCCCGGAGGTGAGGTGACCCACATGGCGCAGCAGACCTCTCCTGACCCGCCCACTGCTCCCCTCAGCAGTGTACTTCATTAATATTCCTGTTCTGCTCCCCACTCTGTCTCTGGTGAATCCTCTCACTGACCCTGCACCTCTGACCTGTACTCTGGTTCTTCCACACATATAAAAAGTTTATCTAAAAGTGAAGTAGAGCTGTCAATATGTATTTCTTCAGGTATAGTTGTAATTCATTTTTAAAAAGAAGTATTTTGTTTATTTATACCAATGTCACATTGGATTATGTTATTGTTGGTATGTTTGAAATAAAGGATCCTACCATCCTCAGGTATTGCCACCACAGTGTACACTCAACCACCCACAACCCCCCAACATAGCACTGACTTTTATTGGTCTTTCTTCAGTTTAGTGTCAGAGAAGATATAGACTCTTAGGAAAAACGTTATTTTCTTAGAGTTATTTTCTTAGAGTCTCAGGATGACAGATGTTGCCTATGTACCTTTGGAGCACAGGCAGGCTTCTCTGATAGAGGTCATAAATGGTTCTAATTGGTGCATAATCCAGCAACCCTTGGGATTATGTTGCTAGGAGTCTTCTGCTCCTGCTAAGATTTCCCTCAGCAAATAAAGATGAGGTAAATAGTAAAAAAATAATCAGTTTAAACTATTGAAACCTGCTGGGACTGACAATACTAGTATGGGACAGCAGGTAACTCAGGACTGTTTGACCCATAAGGATGGATTCACATCCACAAAATTCTCTACAAAAGGGTTCACTTGTCAAAATACCACACTTGTGATGTCTAAAATTGAGTGTAAGTCTCTTGCCAAATTCCATCTTTTAGGAAAGGATGTGTATTGATATGACTGTCCTCTGGCTAAGACTGCTGCTAAGCTCTCTACCAGGAAATTTTTGCTACAAAAAATTGGTGAGTAGGGTGTGCAGATGGAATGGGTGTTCATCTGTCATAATGAAAAATGACAGTGCTTATATCCTTCTTGGGTAAAAGGTGACTTGACATCACATAGTTGCAGGTATGGAGGGGAAGGTTCGAGGTATCATGACATTTTTTGAAGCAAAGTACATGAAGATAACAATCTTGGTTTCTGAAACAGTCACAAAAATTCTCAGTTGGTATTTTTAATGACAACTCTTTTGTCAAACCTAAGGGACATTTATTGAAAATACCAACCTAGATCAATGGTAAACTATAATATTAAGAAACAGGCACAGAATGGATTAAGCAATGCTTTGGAGAGAGAATTTGAAATCAACCGTGCCAAACAAACAATTGAGTAAAAAAAAAAGAAAGAAAGAAAGAAAAAGATAAAACAGCTGCGTATTCATATGACAAGAGGAGGAAATCAATCTATGGGCTGTACCGTCTACATCTCTAGCTGATGAGGGAACAACCTTCATCACTGAACACTCAATGTGCATAAAGTGATGGGTACAGCACTTCAGCACAATGCAGAATTAGTCATCAAGCCTGTCCTCCTTATTTTCATAGCATTCCCTTGAGTGAGTGTGGAATATTGTATCTATTGTACCTATTATGAAGGCAAAGAACCATCATCATCTGGTAGAGTACCCAGTGTTAATGGAATCCGTACAAAAATAAAAACAAAGGCAGCAGCCCAAAATTCGTGAAATGATGGCTTCAGTTATTTAAGCACTTATGAGAGAAGGAACAGCACACAGATGCATTTCAAAGGTGTTCAATCATACAAAATTAAGGGGAGCAGCAAATGTTGCAATAACCATCGAGGTGTGTTATTTATGTATTACAGATATAATAGTATGGTCTACATATGTTAATCACCCTCAACTTAATAAATCGCTTTCATGCATATCATGGAAAAGGAATAATAAGAGAACTACAAAGCATTGGTGTATACATGGATCTATGATGAATGTGCTGTCCAAATGACAAATTAATTATTTGAAAGGCCTTGCATACTTGAAATATTATGGCTTTCAATAAAATTTGAGTGCAAGGTTTATGCAAATCATCTGTATCCTGTGTGACTGGACATCAAGATATTAATATACTTTAAAAATTATTTTAAAAACACTGGGTGCAGTGAGTAGTCTGTGTATTTAAATAATTAAGTGGTTTATTAATATTCATTGGCCATTATCTATGTACCCTTGAATTATACATTTTCGAAGGTTTGAAGTGGTAGTGCAATATGTATTTTGTTAACAAATATTAGTTGATAGGAAGAAAATATTTAATTCACTTTCCCCCATCAGTGTATATTTATTAATTTTTATTGAAGTAATATTACATTTTAATATTGTATGCATTTCAAGTGTACTTCCATAGTGATGCATTTGTTTTTTGCTTTATGTTATGCCATTGGAACCTCTGTAGTAATTGTAGAAGTCAGGTAGAGAATATTATCCATCTATGAGTGAAGAAGCTTTGTCAGATTAAGTTGTGAAGGTCAGATATACAGTGGTGGATTGGGCTGCACCCTCAACCCTCGTGAAATAACATGTAAAATTCTTAGTACAATGCTTGATCCTCTAGATGACCTAATGAAAGGCATCTTATTTTTCCCAATTTTCCCAGTACCCTTTTCTGCTTTAAGTCACTGCCCAAGTACTATAGCAGTAGATTTAAATAATATACAAAATAACTGTAGGTGAAATTTGAGAAAAATGAAAGAAGAAAGCAGAATAAGCCCTTTAGTCATAACATCTGCTGCGATAAGAACAATTCAAACATTGTCAGTGGTAGAAATTACCTTTATCTCTATGATTACAACTTTCCATTCTTGAACTGGAATGATATGTAACAAAAACTATTAACTATGCCATAAGTAAAAGTAACTACATAAGTAGTATACCACTTGATAAACTTTCAGGAGAAATGAAGGATAGAGCTCCATTAGTACAGCCATAAGTGAACTTCTAATTAGTAAAATTGCTCATGAAGAAGATAAAACAGTATCAAGGAATTGAAAAGGTTCTTATGACATTTAATTCATTTTGATATATTTAGAAAACTCCAATGCATCATAGCAAATCCTATTAATTAAACAAGGACTCTACTACCACTTTTTACTTCTATGCTTTAATTTGTTCATTTCTATCCTTAATTTAGGTATGGCTATGAGCAACACATAAGCACGGAGATATTTTCTTGATCTGCAATCATAGATGTTTTATTGTACAAGCAGAATGTGCTCTCATTATTTTGTTTATAGCCTTGAAATATATTAATGACCTTTGAAATATATAGAATATATTCAAAACCCCCCAACTGTTCAGATAGAAAATTAAGTGATGCTAGTTGATAGCAGTGTATTTAAGTTAAAGGTTCAAAATAGACTCCAGCTAAGAAACTTCAAAATGCTATCATTTTCCTCCTGGGTGGTGAGATTTTTCACCTTATAACCTTACACTCTCTGTCTGAAATTATTTATCCTCCAAAAGGTGACTGGTCCCTGCCAAGTGTTATTTCAATAACATAAAGAAGAAGTTATAACTCAATAGTTATAATTCAACAACGTGTTCTAGGCTGTATGAGGATTAATTATGACCACCATAATCAAAATCTAAATCACATACAAAGAAGTAAGACTAAAAAAGGCTGTAATCTCTCACGCCTACAAAATTCCTTGAATTTCTTTCTTTAGGTTTATCTGTCTTGATCAGTAGGTTTCGATAGAGTGAACTTTAGTCTGGCTTAGTTCTACAAATGCCCAGTCTTTATCCTGTTTCAAGAGGCAAAAAAAAAGTCACCACTTTAATACTATTAAGTTTGCTCATTTCAAAGCACACCACATTTTTCAAAAACATAGAAATTAACAAGTTTAAATTTAATATTATATGCATTTAGGTAAGACTCACCTTTAAAGAATCAAAACAAGCCACCACACGACCATTTTCCACATGGCACTCTCTGGGCGGATGGGCAAACTTGCAATCTGCATCTGCTCGAGAGCACGTTCCTCTCTGATATTCTCTACAGACTTCTAACGTCAGCCACTTGGTATCACGAACCAGGGTAACATTGACAGCCGTCATATTGAAAGTAAAATGAAAATCAAGTGCACCCTCTTTAGGACAATATTACTGCTGTTTTTAAAAGATTAAAACTGAATTCAGGCTAAATGTGAAGAGATAATAGGTTGCCTTGGTGAAATGTTTCTTTGTTAGCACTTAGGTTTTCATTAATGTTAAATTCTGTCTAGTCAAACAAGAAGCCAATCAAAAAATAAAAATTATATCAGAGCAACTAAAAATCAAATTAGAGACCAAGTCCTAAGAAGGCAACTGTAAAGGTTAAGATATTGAGTGTTTTATTTTGTTCCGCTGCTGAAATTACTTCAAATAACTGGCAGACTTTCAAAAGGATTCTGGGCTCTCCAGTTGATGTTTTCAATTATTCTTGCAAAAAGCATATGCCGCTGGCTGCCCTTCAATTTGTGCAATGGTCTCAGATCAAGAGGAGAAAGGTTTTTCTCCCTATGTCTTACGTTTAAAGGTTAAGATTGGTAAGGATGTAATATCTGTATTTTTTAATTTTTTTTTTGGCTGAAAAATCAGGAGGGAAAATGACTTAAAATGGAGAATCAAAGAAAAAAAAAAGAATGGACAAGTTGCTAAAAGTGAACTACAAGCACATGGATTTGGGGTGGGGGTAGAAAAGGGGCTTATAGAGACAGCTCTAGAGTGGAATCCAAGCAGCAGAGTTTTCAGAAAAGGCACTTTTCAGAAACCTGCAAGAAAAAAAAAATAAAATTAGCTAAAAGTATACAATGCTTCCGCTTTCACCTAGCTCTGGAAAAGAAGTAACCATATCCTATTTAAAATGGGAAGCATCTAGATACTGACAGCACCATGCACAGTCAGTCACTGCCACTAAGAAGGGCATTTCTCAGGGCAGAAGTGTGGTAGTGAAAGGAAGCAACCACTGGGAGTTGCTATTGCAATACTAGGTGGGCAACAATCCAGTTATCAAAAATAATTGTTTCATTTTTATCCTTTTGGGGCAGAAGTCCATTTTGGGGTCTACTGCTCTGAAACTGGAGTCTGATGTGATAGCCTTTTATGTAGCCATGATCCACTAGCTCCTCCAGTTTTTAGAAGTTCCCAAAGACCCATCTTTAAAGTGGCTTTACTAGGGTCTGGGTGACGGCTTGGTTATCTGCTCTCAAGCTCTAGCAAACGGGAATTACTAAGAAAACTAAGTTGCTCTATGAGGTAACTGTGTATGTATTTGAAATGTAATTGCTGATAATCACATAAAATAGTCAGGACACTAATTATCTGGAGACTCATTGCACATGAAGTACAGTGGAGGATGGTAATGTAAAAAGCGCTTCAGATTGAAAAAAAAATCCTTTGAAAAGATGCAGCGTTTTTTCAGTGTATATTGTTGTTAGTCTGTACAAAGGGATATCAGAGCAACTGAGAAGGAGGTTGCAGCAAATACAAATAAGTAAGACAGAAAGAACAGTTCAGTCACTTACTAAACAAGGTGCAGATTCCAGGTCTGCAGTTTAAATTGGTGTCAACTAACAATTTCTACCAACTCAGCTGAGACATTAAATGAAAGATTAATTTACTGGTATTATGCTATAAACATGTACTGAAAGAACAGCATTTTTTTCTAAAGCAAAAGTAAGCTTACATACAGACTTCTCAACCAATTGTTAACTTCATCAAAGAAGAATTAAAGTTCCTGAAAACATTTCATATTCTTTTTAAAACAATATCTTCAATAACTTTACAAAGCCAAATTTTCTGTTGGTCTGTTCCAGAGGAAACAGGAAGTCACCTAATATTTCAAATACTATTGGGAAATTAAGTACCTAGAAGAATCACAAGAGTTCATATATTCAATAGCCAAACATGTTTTTCTGAGTCAGTCTTCATAGAAAGCTTTCTAAGATGCATTATATATTCCTTTGTGATCTTAGAAAATACTGGACATAATCTGAAGACTTAGGGTCACAAATATCCCAGCAAGTTAACTATAGCAATAGTTTTCTTCCTTCAGTGGCATACTGTTAATTGTCACTTTTACTGTCACTTTTCTGCCTGACACAGTATATGTGGATGCACAAGAATAGTGGATTTTTCAGCCCCTTTCTGGAAAACATAACAGCCAACCATGAATGTGGAATAACAGTCAGCTTCTCACCGAATGAAAGACTCTAAGTGGCAAATTGTAGGGTTTTGATGCAGAAGTTCTATGGCTGCTTTTATAGCTTTCAGGGCACATTTGTAGTATGTCTATGCAGCATGATATCTTAGAGGTTAAGGTTGTCAAGTAAATGACTTCTAAAAATATTTAATATATTTTGTTAATTAAATAGTCCAATGTGGTACATGAAAAGAAAAAAAGTTTACCATCATGTATCATCAGGGAAATTTAAATCCAAACTGCATTGAGATGCAATCTTACACTTGTGAGAACGGCCCATATCAAAAAGACCAGAAACAGCAGTGCTGACAAGGGTGTGGAGAAAATGGAGCCCTAGTACACTGTTGGTGGAATGCAGGCTACTCCATTCACTGTGGAAAGTTGGGGTGGAGGGTTCTGAAAAGACTAAAAATGCATCTGCCATACAATCCAGCAATTCCACACCTCGGTAACTACCCAAAGAACACAAAAACACTAATTTGAAAGGAAACTTGCACCCCTATGTTCGTTGCAGTAGTATTTACAGTAGCCAAGATATGGAAACAATCTAAGTCCCAAAAATAGATGAGTGGTTGGAGAAGAACTGGTATATATACTCAATGGAATACTACCCAGCAATCTAAAAAGAATATTAACTCATGCCCTTTGAGGTAACATGAGTGGAGCTGGAAGGGATTATGCTAAGTGAATTAAGTAAGAAGGAGAAAGATACAGTGTGGTGTCACGTATATGTGGACTATAGGGAAAGCAAGCAAAGGGTCATGGACAAACATTTAAACCAACTCTTAAAGGTTGACCATAGATCTGAGGCATCCAGAGCGGGAGGAAGAGGAAAGGGGTAAGAACAGGAAGGGGGAAAAGCCCAGTGGACTTTGGTGGAGGACTCTGGGTGATTTGGTGGTTAGGGCTATGGTGACTGCACCTATACTGTGTAAACACTAACCAGGATATAAAATAATGACATTTCCATTAAAAAAAAAAAGCCTGCTGGGGGAAACATTAATCAAAACCAGAGCGCTGTACCTCTTCACACCCATCATGACAGCTATCACAGAAAGAACAATTGGAGAAAGCACAACTGTCATACATTGTTGGTGGGGATGGAAAACAGTACAGAAGCTGTGGAAGCAGTTTGACAGTTTCTCAAAATGTTAAACAGTTGCCACATGACCTAACACTTTTAGGTCCAGTTCTGTCCCCAAAAGAGCTGAAAGCAGGGTCTCCCCGAGATAGGTGTCCATTCAGAGTCATGGCAGCACTCTTCATGTTAGACGAGCGGTGGAAACAACTGAAGTGGACATCAGCACTTGGGCAAAATCACAATTCCAGGCAGCCACCAAATGGAATTTATTCCACCTTTTAAAGGAATGAAGTACTGCAAGTTCTGATCTGAAACCTTCAGGAGTGGAGGGGAAAGGTCAAAACAGGAGGGTAGACCGCAAGGGACTATGCTGATAGTGCACGGAGGATGTGGTGGTGGGAGATTTATGGGGACTACCCCTGACAGCAGAAATCAAACAGTGTATCAAAATGAGCAACAATGTAAGAAAATGAAAAGTTCCGTCAAAAAAAGAGAAATGAAGCAATGATCCACCTACCACATGATGAACCCCAAAAGGCCAGCTCAGTGGAAGAGGCTAGTTGCAAAAGGTCATATATTGTATTATTCTATTTACATAAAATATATAATCGGCAGACCTATAAAGTCAGCAATTAAATCAGTGGTATTGAGGGCGTGGGGGAGGAGAGAAAGTGGAGTAACTGCTTAATAGATACAGGGTTTCTTTGGGGAATGAGAAAAAATATTCCCGTTTTATATGCTGATGATAGTTGTATACTTTTTTGATTGTAGTACAACCCACTCCCTACACTATGTATTTATTACTATGTATTTATGTACTTTAGGTGAATTGTTTAGTATGTAAATTCTATATCAATTAAGTCATTACATATTTTTTTTAAAGCCTAAAGATTGATGGAATTGACTACCCGGGCTGACCTTTCTATTAGATTCTCCACAGGCGCACATTCTTCTAACCAGCATCATTAAGTTGAATTTCATGAGTAAATTTGTCTCCATATTGTAACTTTGTGTATTATGGAAATAATTAACAAATAGTATGCTCTACAAGTTATATTTAAAGATATATTCAAATTCAATTCTACAAATAAATTGTGTAGGCTGCCTGAACATATCTGAGAGAAAATTAACATACATACATACATACACACACACACAATGATTTTCTCAGAACAGAAACAATGAAGACATATAAAAAGATTGTTCTATAGTGCTCCATCAAATATAAAAACAGACCAAAATAATATATTTGAATTTAGAACTTTCACAACAAAAACATGCAAACATTAATTGGACATAACCATGTATTAAATCCAGAGTGGGAGAAGAAATTTCCTTTTATAAATTTCGCCCATAACCTCTGGTGGGACCCTGGCCAATTCCTCAAAGACAGTTCTAGCCAGCACATGTCCTCCTTTAGACTGGAACTGTTTCAGGGGCTGGCTCAGGAGAACTTGGTACAACTCAAAGGGGGACAGAGAGAGGATGGAGAGATGTTCCCTTGCGTATCTCTGCTTATTTGACTGTGATAAAACTAGAGCGGGGGTACACTGATCCCTGTATGTTTAAGATCGACTTTGTTTTGGTGACAATACAGCTTTACATTTTGCATCCTCAGACTTGAGTGATATGAATGTAAGTTTCCTATTATGACTTCTAGTCCTCCAATGCAGGGCATGAAAAGTAGCATTTCCTAGCACATTTGTAATTGCGGTTCACACATGCTTTTATTTCATTGATCTCCGGAGTGCTAAAAATACTCAAAAGCATGAATAATAACCCAAAAATACCATTGAAATGAATGAAGCTCATGGTGGTTAAATTAATTCTTTGAAGTTGTAAAGTCATAAGTGGTACAGCGATGACTTGAGG